CACGATTATCACACTGTTATCATACCAAATGGATATAAAATGACTGTGATGGAAAATTTGATGGCTTTATCGATTAGGTTCACGATTATCACACTTTATATCAAGAGATTTCGAAACTTCAGATACAGTGGGGGGAAAAGATGGGAAGAAAACGATAGACGTTTTACTCAACATGAACGATCATAAGCTAAAATGATGGATAATTCCAATTAATTAAAATAAGATAAAAATTGTAAAAAATATATAATTACATTACTACCCTTAATGATTTATTGTTATTTAATATAATTTAAATTATTGGTTAAAAAAGTTTGAGGCCCACAAGTGTTCTCACATTCTCGTAAATCACAACGGTTCTAATGGGAAGCATAAGAAGTGGTCTCCACCCTTAGATGTGCATTAGGATGAGATGCACCGAGAAGAAATGCATTGAGGTGCACCAGATCAATCCATGTATTAAGCGCAATTCATGAGTGAGTTAGAGATTAAAAGGTGATCAAGACCCCAAATCTCTTCTTACACTTCTCACTTTAACTTTACTTCTCACACGATCCTTCACACACACACACATATCCCTGCATTTAGAGATGGAGAATTTATCGTAGAGGTAGAGATTCCCCATTTTAGCGGGGACAATGATGGGAATTATATTCATACCTGGAGTTAGACATAGCCAAAAACCGGTGTCGGCCCGGGCGCGAATCGATCCTGGGTTGAAATAACAGCAATCCGGACCGGTAGTGGTCTCGTCGAAAATACTAAGGCCCGGTTAAGGATACTTGTAGCCGGTTGCGGTAACTGGTCCTGGGCCATGTCCAAACCAGTCCTATTTAAAAAAAACATTTTCTTTTTATATTTTTTAAAAATTTCTTCTTGATAAAATTTTAAAAATATTTTAATGTTATTCTAATACACTTTAAAAATATCTAATTAGGTCAATCAAATACACTTAAAAATTACATTTTATTATTTTATAATTGATTTTCAATTAAATACACTTAAAAAATTGTTCTATTGTAAATTTGTAATTTGATTTTCAATCAAATAC